TTGAACTGCGGTCCCTGATGCTTTGCCAAGCTAGTTCCAAGTAGGTGCTTTAGACCACTGAGCCATCTCTCCAGCCCCTCCTATCAGTTTAAAAAAGGTGGGCTTTTTAGTAAGTGGTGCTGGATAGCCACTTACTTAATTGAGAGGAAAATAAATTTTCGTTATTGTTGTTTTTGAGACAGGATGTCGCTCTGTAGTTCAGTGTGGTCTTGAACTCACTCTGTAGCCCAGGTGATCCTCCTGCCTCAGCCTCAGTGCTGGAATTACAGGCATTGTGCACTAAGCCCTCTGAGAGGAAAATAATACATGCTTATCCAGCTTTGTACACAATCTGTTTTTAAAATTTATTTATTTGATACAAGATCTCAATATACAGTTCAGACTGATAGTGATCCTCCTGTCTCAGCTTCTCCATGTGTCACCATGCCTGGTTCTGGGGCTAGCATGGCATGCGGTACCAGGGATTGAACTCGGGATCTTGCACTTGCCACGCAGGGGCTTATGGCGCTGAGCCATCTTCCCACCCCCACCCTTTTTTAATTGCTTGAAAATAATATGCCTGGAGAATCCACTCCCTTGACTTTTTGTTTGAAGGTGAGCCCAAGGAAATGGTGCTTTGGGGAAAATATTTCTAACATATATGAAAGAAGCCCTTGATATCTCAATATAGGAAGACTCTTAAAAATTAATAAAGAAGAACAAAAGATGCCCCTCGGTCATTTCGCTCTCCCACTGGTTTCAGTGGTGTTGGAAATGACCCCCTTTTCATGGGGTGTCTCAGAAGAGACTGAAGACTGTGCTGTCTTTTTCTCTGCAGCATGTCCCAGGTGGATGTGGATTCGGGAATTGAAAACATGGAGGTTGATGAGAACGACCGACGAGAGAAGAGAAGCCTTGGTGACAAGGTGGGTTGGAGAGGTGACTTCCTTTGGCCTTCGTGTAGGGTCACAGGTGTGCGGCTCTGTGTCTGAGTGTATTCAGGGGACGCTTTGTCAGCTCATCCACATCGGTAGGGTTTTTTATTTTTAAGAAGCAGCAATCTCAACTGCCCTTTGAAATGGAAGTGTAATTCAGTCCTGGAATCTGGTAAAATTCCTCAGTTATCTTTGGTTATGGGTCAGTGTTGTTATCAGTAAATTTAGCTTGACAGGAACTAACCCTTCTGTGGTCTTTCACGTAAATCAGTAGATAATCACATTTTGGGGTATTTTCTGAGGGGAATGCTGGGAAATTGAAACCAGGATATGTAAAATCTAGTAACAAGTAAAAGCTTTTTTAAATGATGAGGTCTTTATTATCTCTTGAGCATAGTTTTCTGAACATAGGGTTTTTAGGGCTTGTTACTGCTCTTTTGGTGGCCATGGTACAGGTAACCGTACTGCTTCCTGCTGAGTAAATTATTAGGAATCCTTTCAGTGACACTTTGGACTATATCCTCCTGGTGGTGCAGTGCTTTAATTTGTATACCTCTTTGATGCTTATAAAGTTTTTATGTGATTTTAAAAAATCATTTATTTATTTATTTGGTACAAGGTCTCACTACACAGTTCAGATTTGTAGTGATCCTCCTGTCTCAGCCATCTCAGTGTTGGGATTACAAGTGTGTGCCACCATACCCAGTTTCAGTGGCTAGCTCAGTGTGGGACCACTATGGCATGCAGTACTGAGGATCGAACCTGGGTTCTTTTTTTTTTTTTTTTTTTTTTCAGAACCGGGGATTGAACTCAGACCCTTGTGTTTGTCAGGCAAGCACTTATTCTGCTGAGCCATCTCCCCGACCCCCGAACCTGGGTTCTTACACTTACCACACAGGTGCTTAGACCGCCGAGCTATCTCCCCGGCCCTCATGTGATTTTTTTTTTTTTTAAAGAAACATGAGAAAGATTTATTAGAAGGTGTAAGATGCACTGATGCTCAAAGAAATGAGGCACTTTTTTTGTTTTGTCTTTTTGAGACAGGGTCTCACCATGCAGTTCAGGCTGCCCTTGAGCTCACTTTGTAGCCAGGCTGGTCTCCAACTCTCAAGGATCCTTCTGGGTCAGCCTCCCGAGTGCTGGGATTATAGGGGTGCGCCACCACACCCAGTAGTTTTTTTTTTTTAAAGAGGCTTATGTGGTATTTGCCCTGAGATGGGATATAAGGTGAAACATTAAGTTATGAGGATAATGATATGTGAACCTGGTCCTTTGGAATAGGTCTCCAGCTCAAAAGGATGATGTTTTAGGAATAATTCAAAGGAGTAGGGAGCCCAGATTGCACACATATGTAATTCCCAGTAGGGTGTTACCCCTCTCAGGTCTGATGCCCTTGAGCTGATGGGAGCCAGGGCTCAGGCGGGAACTGGTAAATAGGACAGAAGCCCCTCCCTCCTTTCCTCTCATCTCTACTCTTCAGTCCCCTGCCCAAAAGGCCACAGACTGGCATGGGTGGGGGGCCCCTGCTGGAAAGCCAAGAGGCTCTGTATATCTTGGCTCTCTTCTTCCTCTGATTCCTGACAGCGCCTTGTTCTTTTCTGTTCTGCTGTAAGCTCAGGAGACCTTCAGAGTCATAGTAACAGGTTCCCTTTCTCTTAATAAGCGAGTCAGTGCTTTTATGCATTTGAAAAAGAGCCTCCTTGATGCATGAAGTGCCTGCCACCTGCCTCCCAGTGGAGGCTGACCTAGGTATTCTTCCACTAGGAACCTGCCTCCGGCCCCGAAGTGTCTGAAGAGCAGGCCCTGCAGCTGGTCTGTAAGATTTTCCGTGTCTCTTGGAAGGACCGGGACAGAGATGTCATCTTCCTTTCTTCTCTCTCTGCGCAGTTCAAACAGAACCCAAAAGAAGGTAGGTGGCTAGCTCAGCGCTGTCCCTCAGCGCACTTCCTGAGTACTGCGAGAGAGCTCTGTGCCTTTCTGCATCCTGATTCCCTGTCATGTTTTTCGATTTGCTCTTGATTGCAGCAGTACTGCGTGTTGAGGACACTGAATACTGTAAATTAGTCTCTCTTTTCATGACTCCTGCCAAAGAAAACTATTTAACTCAGTTGACAGACTCCATTGTCTGCAGAATTGAAACTTTTTCCAGGTGGTGGGAGACGCTCTGGGAGGGATCAGCTTCACTTAGAAAGAAGGCTGCGTGCGCAGCGCCCAGGGACCCTAAGAGGAGTGCTACGTGTGCACGAGACCCGTGCCTGCCTGCCTGCCGGGCCACGTTCAGGCAGCGGCTGAGTCTGTTTGATGCAGATGCTTAGAAGATGGGAAATACTGACACTTTGCTGTGTTCCCAGGGTTCTGCTTAAGAGCTCAGCCATGCTGAGCCACACATACAAGAACGTAGTAAAGATTTGGGCAAGTCACAGTCATCTAGGGCTCCTTGGTTTTCTTCACAGCAGTCCTTTGGAGTACAGCTCGGTAGGGGTGTGCTGGAGGGCTTTGCACCTAACACTAGAATACAGTGAACTCCCTTGATGTAGTTTGGGCTGACCTTGAACGCAGGCCCTCATGGCAGTGGCTCGGTCACTGGACCGGTATCTCATGCTGAACACCTGCTCCAACCCTGGAACCAGCCCCAGGCTGGTATTCTTCCTGCCTCAGCTTCCTGAGTTTTTGGATTATAGGTGTGTACCACCATACTTGGCTCACTTGCTATTGTTACAAGTCTTAATATTCCCAAATATGTCTCTCACATATACATGATAATTTTAAATTAACTATTAAATATTAATTAAATATTAACTCTGTATTTGTAGTATTAAGTCACATAAAATTTATAGTGAGCAGGACTTTTGTTGACTGACAGAATGTATCTAAACATCAGTGACCAAACTGCAAACAATAGTAAACTGGACTATAAGTTTGCTCTCAAAAGCCAGATGGTGCTTAAACATCGGGTCCTTCATCAAGTCTTTTAAACTTTGGGCTTAGTAGCTATCGTACGTTAAAAGTATATTGGCTGAGAAATATTAACTCAGTTGTGTTTGTAGTGTGATAAGCTGAAGCTGGTCTCTGTAGTCTGGAGTAACTTTTTTTGATAGTTAAATATCAGCAGTGTATATTAACTCATTGACCCTACTCCATTTTCTTTTTAAATAAACTTGTGGTGGTGCACGCCTGTAATCACAGCACTCAGGAGGCTGAGACAGGAGGCTCACTGTGTTTGAGGCCAGCCTGGGCTGCATAGTGAGAACCTGTCTTTAAAAAAAAAAAAAAAAAAAAAATATATATATATATATATATATATATATATATATATATATATAGAGAGAGAGAGAGAGAGAGAGAGAGAGAGAGAGAGAGAGAGAGAAGTTTTAGGTCCACAGTAAAGGCTCAACAGTGATAGTCCAGGAATCCCTGTATACACTTGAACAAGCTTCCCCGAAGGCCAGCACCTACCTAACCATGGTACATTACCACAACTGAGAAATTGCCATGCACTAAACACCACATTGTATTTGGGTTTCACCAGGCTGTCCGCGCACGTGCTTCTCTGTTCCAGCATCTGGGCAGGGACACCATGAGCTGCTCAGGTCTCAGGGGGCTTATTTGAGAACCATGTCCCAGAAGTGCCATGTGTAACCTGTTTTTTTACTCTGCCTTCCCAACAGTGTTCTCTGATTTTAAGGACTTGATTGGCCAGATCTTAATGGAAGTGCTCATGATGTCTACTCAGACTAGAGATGAAAACCCGTTTGCCAGTCTCACCGCCACATCCCAGCCCATCGCGGCAGCAGCTCGGTCTCTGGACCGAAATCTCATGCTGAATACCAGCTCCAACCCTGGAACCAGCCCCATGTTTTGCAGCTTGGGCTCCTTCGGTGCCAGCTCTCTGTCTAGGTCAGTGTGGTACTCTCCTCGGAAGACACTGGGAGGAGAAAGGTGCCCACGCCCCAGGCCCGCCCTGTGTCCTGGCCTGACAGTGTATGCTGTGCTGTGCTGGGTTTAGTCTTTGGAGAGGACATTATATTATCTTTCTGAATTGGTGTTTGGTTTTCATGGTTGGGCTGTTGTACATTAAGGGTTAGAAACAAATGGCTCCCCACACTACATTATTCTTTAAAATGGGAGCTTGTCATCACCTCAAGATTGCTATTGTAATTAGATGAAAATTATTTAAATGCTTATCTGATTGTGCCTGAACTTTCAGAAACCTGAGGTACAATCCTTGTACTGTCCTTTAAAAGCCTGCAGTTGTCCGTTTTAGTTCTCTCAAGTCTTTCTTTGATTTTTTCTCTTCTTTCCTACGTTTCCCACCTGATACAGCCTCTATGACACTAGCCCGGCCCCTACTGCTGGTCCCTGCGGCCCAGGGCCGGTGGCAAGTCTGTCCTTTGCCTCCCCTTCCCGCATGTCCCTTAGCCCTCACACAGTGGCTTCTGGATCTGCAACAGGAAGCCAGCCCTCATCCCTGTCCCTGTCCCCACGCTACCGGCCCTACACTGTCTCGCACCCAGGGCCGCCTCCATCTTGTGCCATCCTGCAGCCCATCCCCTCCAGCTCTCCCAGCCTCCCTGCCCTCGCGGGGAGCCCCCCAGCTGGCACCTCCAGACCGAGGCCTCCGAGTGCAGGCCCAGCTGTCCCACCTGCCTCGCCCAGTGTCGCCAACAGACGTCCCTCTTCCCTGCGGATGTCTCCTAGGTATTTATCCGACAGGAGAGCTGTGAGTGTGTGTTTGCAGTGCAGGGAAAGCACAATTAACGCGCTTCAGAAGACCTGCTGTGTGCACTGACCTCAGCTACACTTGGGTGTTTTGAGTCCTTAACCTGTGTCGCTAACTAGTGTGGTTGGCGTGTGCCTTGAGTCCCTGCTTCCAGGTGCTGATCACACCAGAAGGCAGCGGTTCCACTACTATGCATCCCTCTTCCCTTCTTCCTGGGACCCTTCCTCCTTCCTGTACCAAAATAGAAAGAATGAACCTCATGGTTTGTCATCTGCTTTGTGTGTTATTCCTCCTCACTTGTGAGTTTCGCAGAATATGGTCAGCATTGAATTTGAGAGTGGGGGCTCGGAGGATCACTGTTTCCCTGTCTGCACTGTGGCAAAGTGGAGGTTGACACGTAGGAGCGGGAGAGGTCCGGGTGGGGGACACATCCAGGCCACTTGTCCTGTCCTTCAGGTGAGTGCAGCCAGGTCTGTTCCTGCCTTGGGGCTTTGAGTTTTGGCTACTTGTATTTGTAGCCAGGTAGAACACAGTGGCATTAAACTTGAATGAACCCAGGGCCCCATCTCTCAAATGGACCTGTGTGTTGCTGTAATCTCGGTGCATTATTTTTCTGCATGGCATTGGGCCGAACTTCTAGCATACAATTTAAAACAGACAGTAGATGCTGAAGCTTCTCCCACTTTTGTTTGACCTTTCTCCCCTGATGCCCATGTTTTGTTTCTGTGCGGTAGTATATACGACACTCCCTTCTCCTTCCTCCTCCTCGCACTTTCTGGGGACAGTAGTGATGAAGAAGATGAAGAGGATGATGGTGGTGATGGTGATGATGAAGGTGGTGGTGGTGGTGATTTTTCTTGTGTCCAGTTTGGGTCCAGGTATCTGAGGAGTGGAGTCTGACCTGCATGCGTGTTGGTGCTTAGGAACTAACTTCTGGGAGCCCGGCCTAGGGGTGTGCATTGAACCGAGACAGGACAGCGTCAGCATGGGCCGGGTGGTGCCTGGATCCAGTGCATAGGACAGTGCTTACAGTGGTCCTCTAGTCAGTTTATAGGGAAAGTTTACTTATAGTCATTGTGAGAAACCTGAAAACAGCTTCACGTTCACAGCCACTCATCATCACCTATTGTTAGGTCTAAAATGAGGGTCTCTTCTTTCTCTGTTGCAAGAATGTCCTTTCCTGGTATGGTAGTGCATGCCTATAATCCCAGCACTCACAAAGCTCAGGCAGGAGGATCTCCACAAGTTCAAGGCCAGCTTGGGCTACATAGTGAGTTCAAGACTAGCCTGAAACTGCACAAGGCCCTGTCTCAAAACAAACAAACAAAGACTATTGTTGTGATCTGCAACACAAGAGCACTCTGTACCCTGAGAGGCTCGTCTCCTTCAGTCCAGCTGCCAGGATTTCTGGATTTAGACAGGGACAAGAGCTGAGGCTCGGGGTGTGTGCGTGGGCTCACATGCGGCTGTTCACTCCCCTGCACCCCCTGCTTGGTTCAAGGCCCTAGAGTGCGGCTCACTGCTCACCCCTGCAAACACTGTGGGCAGCACCACTTGGGTTCCTAGTGGCTTTGAACAGGAAAATGCAGCCCCCCCGTTTTTTTTTGTTTTTTTTTTTCTTTCTGACTTCCTGCCTCGTTGTCTTACACAGTTTTGCTCATAAATCCAAGTTTCCTCTGGACGGAGTTGGTATTTATGCCTAGCAGTATTCAGAAATAACCCCCAGGCTATAAATAGGGCCTGGCACAGGAGTCAAGGCCACTTCATTAAGTTAACAGTGGCAGAAGAGCCAGAGAGGGGTGTTGACTCAAGGTTGGCTATCAATCCAGGAAGGTTGATATTTGAATTAGGTTGAAACTGTGTCACCATTTGCCATGCAAACTTCCCAAAGGTGGAGTTGTCCTTTTCAAGTCTATAAAATCCTACCGCACGACTGTAGTCGCACAACGGTCATCTTTCCTGGGGCTCACTTTCCCTGCATGGGAAAAGTGCTCATTTAGCTGTGTGGTGAGTTGCGTGCGGGAAGAGGCCTCTCAGCCTATTTAAGTCTTGCTCTGACCAGTGTGTCCAGCCTTTGACTTTTCCTAATGCCTCTTTAAAGGTTTCCGACATCTCAGCTTTGCCTCAGATGTGGACGCTGTAGCTGATAGGAAAACTGTGCGTTGATCATAGCCACAGCGGCGAGTCCTTGAGTGTCACGTGGATGCTGCTTGAGCGCTTGGCCTCTATTACAGGCCCTGTGGGTCTGAGAGGACCAGGGACGCAGCCAGAGTCATAGATTAGAGCTCACATTCTCCCCACACCTTTTTAGAATAGTTTTGCATTTTTATTCCTCAAAAAATTGTTTTGAAAGTCAAGACACAACTGTGACATTCTTAAATCTTGGAACTGTCATATGGAGTCCTGTGAGCATCTACACTGTATGTCCCTCTACAGAGCACATGACTTTTCTGAGAACCACACCAGCAGACCAGTTTTAGCAGACAGTTATTTCCTGTGACAGATGGATGACTAAACCCTTCTGTAAACACTAGTGTTTTTGGCACGGGGTCTTGCTACACAGTTCAGACTCATAGTGATCCTCCTGTCCCAGCCTCCCTAGTGCTGGGATTATAGGCGCATGCCACCACTTCAGGATCCGGGGCCGGCACAACATGTGGTACTGGGGTCCTTGCACTTGCCCGGCAGGCACTTATGCTGCTGAGCTATCTCCCCAGCCCAGCATGAGTGTATTCTTGGGGATTTAAACACATGTTGGATCTGCCCAAACTCAGTTCTATTTTATTTGTTATTTATTTATTTATTTAGTTAATGTATTTCATACAGGGTCTACAGGGTTTCACTACACAGATTGGACTTGTAGTGATCCTTCCTGTTTTTCAGCCTCCCAAGGTCTGGGATTACAGGCATGTGCCACCACACCCAACCAGGGATCAAACCCTGGTCCCTGCGCCTGCCTAAATACGCGCTTTAGTCCACTGAGCTCTGAGTTCCATTTAAATTACACTAAGAAGAAAGATTTAGTTTTTGTTTGTTTGGAATTGGGGGTCTCACTGTCTTTCCCAGGCTGCTCTTAGATCCCTGGCCCAAGGGATCCTCCTGCGTCAGCCTCCTAAAGGAGCTGGGACTACAGACAGGTGCATACCACTGTGTTCAGCCTGTGTAAAAGAATTTATGGCTGGTATAACCTGTGCATATTTCAGTACTGTATGCCACTTTCCTCTTGGGTGTCAGTTCACAATTTCACTATGAATCTAAGGACCCTCACGAATGAGGGTTTTTTTGTTTTTGTTTTTGTTTTTGTTTTTCCTTCGGTACTGAGGATTGAACTCAGGCCCTTGCGCTTGTCAGGGAAGTGCTTATTCCACAGAGCCATCTCTCCGGCCCCACGAATGAGTTTAACGGAGGATCTGTGCACGGCGTGGTTGAGACTGGAAATTTTCCTCCTCATGTGGTGATTTCCTTTGGCATCCTCAGAGCACACTGTCGGATATTGGGGTGCACTCTACACTTCTTACTGGGTTAAGACTGTGTTTCGTTGTTTACCACTCCACTTGGAAGTTAGCTGGCTGGCAGCCGCTTGATGATCACCAGGATCTACCAGCTCCTTGTTTTGCAAATTCTGCACTTTATTTGAGCTCTTTTCATTGAGTGGCCCAACACAGGACAGGCACACTTGCCAAGCTTGTCACTTCTCAGGTTTAGTGAAAAAATACTTTGAGTGAGAAGGAAAGGTTCCAACTGAAGTCAAGGCAGTAGTAGTACATTTCCAAGGTTGGCCTGGAATTTCAGTTCAGCTGCATGAGCAAGCCCACACTGTGTCTGAACTCACAACAAATGTGTGCTTAGGGGGCCAGGAAGATGGCTCAGTGGAATAAGTGCTTCCCTGGCAAGTGCAAGGGCCTGACTTCAATCCCTGGTTCTGCAAAAACAAACAAACGTGGGGCCACGTGACACTGACTCCTCACAGCCCAGGAGGAGCTGCATGTAGAAATGCAAGAAACAGAGTTTCCTCTCCATGAAATGCGTAGTTTAAATTTTTTTTTAGACGTGAGAATGATCTATTTTCCTTGTTACCTGTTGGAAGTGCTCCAAGGAGAAGCAGCTCAGTCCCCCATAAGTGGGAGAGTTGTCGGTTAGCAGACTTCTTCCTTGGGATGTGCCGTGAGTGCAGCCGAGCCATCACTCCAGGCCCCAGGAAGAGGGAGGAATTGCAGATAGCTGGAAACTAAGACTGCTGAGGGCCAAGACAGACAAATTGCGTTCCCTTTCTGCTTTTGAGGCGTTTCCTCACTGTCTCTGTTTGTTAATGGGGTTTCTTTTTTTTTTTTTTTTTAATACACAAAGCTTTATTCTGTTTTGTTATTCAAAAAGCTATTTAAAGTAATCAAAAAATAAAATAATCAACATTCTTGTCAAATAACTGATTTAGTTAAAAACCACGGACAGTACACAGTGAACATAAGACGTGATTGTGAGTGCAGGTAAGACCTGTGAGCAGCGGCTTTCATTGCACAGACAGAATTGCTTCTTCTTGCTGTACTCGTACTGTATACAGGAATAACTCAGAGCACTGCAGTTCTTCATCACCACCCTTACCAAAAATGTCCATAGGTCTATGCCTGGTATGGTGTTGTATCTCCTACTGTGACTTCAAAAATTGCAGCAGTGGTTATCACATTTGTTCACAACAAACATTAATGAAATATATGAACAGATATAACTAAAGAAGAAAAGCACAAAAAGTCTAAAACCATCACAAAACAGTTCACTTCCAACCTATATAATCCACAATTTTGCAGTGTTTTATAACAAAGTAGCAGGGGACTTTGTGGCACCTAAAATTCTATTCCTTCCTCAGAATGCTATTTCCCCCTGACTTTTCTACTTCTCAGAGCTCATTCTGCCCCAGAAGTCAGCTGGCACGGTATAGGGGGACGCTGAAGAATATCCTTAGGAGAGAGGCAGCATCACCCTCCCACCTCCCTCCCCTGGATGAGGGCACACAGGCCCGCGCACTGCTATTAGGGCTGAAAGAGCTCTCTGGAAACTGTCACAGAGCTGAGGGACCACTGCTCTCTACTAGGCGATCAGTACTGTCAGCACAAAAAGGTCAAGGTATTCACATCACAATTTTGTAAGGAACCCCAGTACCATCCTACAAAACCTGGGTAGTGAAACCCACCTCTAACCCCAGAAGACTAAAGGAGGTCACTGTCACTTGACTTGGATCCTTCCTGGATCTGGCCGGGCAGTTCCGGCTTAGCTTCTCCCTCACTCTCCAGCTGAGTCTCAGGTCTTGGTTGTTTCTCCCAGCTTTTCCTCACTGTTCCGTGGCACCACCTGCGGGTTATTTTCCCCTTCTTTCAGGTCATTTTGATTTAATTTGTCATCAGTTTCCAGTTGTGCTTCTTTCCCATTTCTCAGCTTTGGGTGAAGCTGTGACGGGTCTTTTAGTCTTCACCTCCTAAAGATTGTATTTTCTGAACAACATGTAATCTTTTACGACACTCAGGCAACAGACAGCTTTGATAATTCCAACTACCACTGTATATTGTGGATTGGTGAGATCTACTTTATTTTCTGAATTCAGACTGCCCACAGTTCCAGCCAATTCTTTTCTAACTTCTCTATTCATGTGGCTGTTATTCTGAGATTTGTATACAATCTGAAATGTCCCCTTGTTTGGTGCTTTAAACCAGGGTTCCAAAAACGTTTCTGCATATTTTTTCATATCTTCTGAGAAAGCTTTGCATGTGCCTGAGATGGGTAACATTCGTAAAATAACTCGAGTCTTCCTTTTCTTAGTTTTATACACATCCTGGAGAATATGATACACTAATTTCTCAGGTTCAATCCCAAGTGTCCTGATGAAGATGACAGTATTTGCTCCACTCTCTACAGACTGGAATCTTCTTAGCCTCTTCTGTGTAGAAGTCTTAATGTCACCAACTTCCTTCTTCATGGCAGCCTCCACATCATCCTCTCCCTCACTTCCAGAAAGCTTTTGCGCTCATTTTTTTTTCTTTTCTTTTTTTTTTTTGGCAGAACCGGGGATTGAACTCAGGCCCCTGCACTTTCCATGGAAGCGCTTATTCCACTGAGCCATCTCCCGGGCCCCCCCCAGAAAACTTTTGATCCTTGTCTATAAAAATGCAGTACTGGGGCCGGGGAGATGGCTCAGTGGAATAAGCGCTTCCCTGGCAAGCACAAGGGCCTGAGTTCAATCCCCGGTTCCACCAAAAAAACAAACAAACAAAAAATGCAGTACTGCTCTGCCATAGAGGGTAAACTGGAGTCATTGGTAGGAAAAGGTGCGTCTCAAGACAATAACCCTTTTCGGGCCCGTACAAATTGTCGCCATATTTGTTGAGCAGGCTGTAGGCCTCCTCCATGCATTTGCGTTTGTTCATATTGCAAGTGATGAGGATCCCCTGCAGTCCAGGTTCTAGCTGCCGCGCCAGACCTCATCCCCACGCCGAGCCTGCTCGGCCTGCACCTACTGAGCCTTGCCTTTGCGCTTTCCACTCCCAGGCTGAGGGCCTGGGCTGGGGCCACCGTGGCGCGTGAGAGCCGAGCATTTCTCTGGGGTTTCCTTTTCTGTGCTTCCTTGGGTTTTTCTTGTTGCACTGCTCACATTTTTGTCAGGCTGGTAAAAGCAGGTACCGGATCCTGCCATGAATGAATATAATGTAGCAACATCTAAATTCCTGTGAAGACAGTATGAATCTGTCTGCTTTGTAGGGTTCCCACGCTGACCTGCCCATCTTTGCCATGGCTGTAGTGAGGTGGTTTGTGGGTAGCTTAGTAACCTGCTCAGTGGGCAGGGCCTTGACTGCTGCCATGCCTCATCTCCTTCCTTCTGCAAGGCTTTGCCGTAGGTGGTAGGAGTTCAGATTTTCTAGTTCTGAGCTGAAAGCTTTGGCTTTGAGATTGGCATTGATGAGCCGTGCATGGTGGCACACACCTGTCATAATCCCAGCCCTTGGAAGGCTGAGGCAGCGGGATCGCTGCAAGTTCAAGGCCAGCCTGGGCTAATAGGAAGACCTTTCTAGAGCTCAGTCTGGCTTTGAACTCACTGTATGAAGCCCAGGATGATCAAGTGCTGGGTTCACAGGCATGTGCCGCCATGCCAGCCAAGGGAGAAGCTATTTTACAACAAAAACAAAGTCTGGCATTGTCATCGTCTTCTTTACTGAAATATTTTCGTTTCATGGTTTCATTCTAAGGTCAGTTATGCATATTTTCTCCAAATTCTAAGGACGGGTATGTGTATTTCAGAGTTAGTCACGCATTTGTCTAGCTGTGTAGCATGTCATTGCTCTCACATGTCGCTTGGTCCTTTTAGTTGCAGGCTGTTTGTTGTCCATCATTGAGGTAGGGATGTACTTCTCAAGTTCTGATACTCTTCCTGTCCTTTGTCCTTTTCTCTGGGCAATCTTTTCCCTGCATTAGGCACTTGCTTCTCACTTCTCAGTCCCCTGCTTCTTCCTGTGTCTCTATCAATCTCTGTATATTTTATCTACATCAAATGAGCATGTGAGCTAAATGCCCTATACAGTACATGACCTGTTCATGGTTGGCCTTTACTTTCTTTTTTTTTTTAATTTTTAATTTTATTTATTTATTTGTGTGTGTGTGTGTGTGTGTGTGTGTGTGTGGCCAGCTCAGCCCACCAGGGGGCAGGGCTGGCTGGCATGTGGTGCTGGGGGATCGAACCGCGGTCCCTTTGCTTTTGTTAAGCTTGTTCTAAGTAGGTGCTTTAGACCACTGAGCCATCTCACCAGCCCGGCCTTTACTTTCTATAAGCCAAACCTTTGTGCCCATATTTGGATTTTGTTTCAGAAAATAGTACGGAAAATAATGGTGCTGTAGCATTTTTACCTCATTTTACTGCTACTTGCTGCAGGTTCTGGATTCAGGTAGCAAATGAGGATAGCAGGTTCACCAGCCCTAGTGTCGGGTGTTTTTTTTTGTTTTGTTTTGTTTTGTTTTTTTTAAATTTCCCTGGAATGGGGATTGAACTCGGGCCCTTGCACTTGCCAGGGAAGCACTTATTCTACTGAGCCATTTCCCTGGCCCAGGTTTTGTTTATATATTGCTTTTAGTACTAATCTGCCTCTGCATTGGAAGGTTTGGAAAATTTTTTTTGTTACTAGCAAATATGTTCATATCTTATTCTGTGTGTGTGTGTGTGTGTGTGTGTGTGTGTGTTGTTCTTTTTTTATCTTTTTGAGACAAGGTTTTACTATACAGTTCAGGCTGTCCTTGAACTCACTTTGTAGCCCAGGCTGGCCTCAAACTGGCAGCAATCTTCCTGCCTCAGCCTCCCAAGTGCTGGGATGTCGGGTATGTGCCACCATGCCCAGCTGTCTTGTTTTAACTGGGCATTTTCCCTAAGCCTTGGTCCTCTTGCCAAACTGCCAAATGCTGGATGACGTTTCGCAAATCTGTGCTAGAAGTTACGAGGGTGGGAGAGATCTTTCCAGCCCCTTGGAACTTCCATCCTAAAGAATTGGGCTGTAGCCACCACAGTCTGGCTTGCCCCTGTCTGCCCAAGGAACAAGGTCAGTTTTAGTATCTGGGGTGTGTCTTCAATTGCTTAGCTTTTGGTAGCAGTTCTTGGTCCTTCCAGTTTTGTAAGTCACGCCCCTAGTAAAATAAGACCCCCTCTATTGGTCCATAAAACGTTTGTCCAGACTCATGGTCCCTGGGCTGGGAGCAGGGAACCAAGATGTCCCCTCCCCAGGGGTCTGCATGCATGTTTGTGCTTTGTTCCTTGTGCAGGGATTCTGACGGGCCTTGTGTTGGAGACATAAGCTCTGGGAAAGGCATGTTCAAGAAGGGATGAGCATCACTGTCTTTATTTTTCTGTTCTCCAAAGTTTGGGAGCCTCTGGTGGTGGAGCAAGTACCTGGGATTCCTATAGTGACCATTTCACCATTGAGACCTGCAAGGAGACAGACATGCTGAACTACCTCATTGAGTGTTTTGACCGAGTTGGAATAGAGGAAAAAAAAGCACCAAAGGTAATGGCAGAGAGTGATTATTTGTTTGCTGCTCCCCACCCCACGAGGGGTTGCTCATTTATTCAGTCTAAAAGGTGTGAGGGCGTGTCCATGTGCTGGGCACCTTCAGATGTGTCCATGTCCGCAGCACAGACCCTGCCCTGGAGAAGCACACCCATGCTGGCCTGCAAGCCCTTTCTCCTGCCCACCCTGTTAGCTGGGTACTACTGCAGGCTTGGCCTCTACCGCTGCTGGTGAAACATGCCGTAATCCTTAACATTAACAACCCCCTTTCTGGAGTACCTGCAGACTGCCGGGGCTGTGCTGATGTGACTTGCGCTTCAGTCCCTGCAGTGGATCCCTGAGTCCTGTAGCCCCTTCATAGGCATAGGTCTCTCCCCGTGTTTAACAGAAGCAGATGAACCCTGTGTGCTTGCCTACCGATGCTTGGAGTGACCGAAGGGGCTGCGCCTTTGCTTGGGCCTTGAGCTCACGCCTTTGTTTCTCTTCATTCTTACTTTGCAGCCTCGTTCATTTCTCATTGGGAATGACTCTGTGGATCCACCTGTCACCTTCACATCTGTGAAGGGCCTCTTGGTGATCATTGTACTTGACCTTAGTAAAAGCAAGTGACGTGGTCTTGGATCTGCACTCCATTTTCTTTCTGACTGTTGATGCAGTTTGCTCATCTTATTAAAATATGCCGTTTTCTAGCTATTGTCTTCTGAGTCGTATCAGTTCTTTTTTTTTTTTTTTTTTTGAAGACGGCATATACGAGATGGCGCCGCGACACGAGTCCTGACCAGTGTGCTCATTAAGTGTGGGGACCAATCAAATATCATCATTACTTTATATGAGGTCCACCATCGTATCATTTTTTTTTTTTTTTTT